ATGCAAAAGTATAAAAGATATGTGCGTCCCCGAACATTTAAATGTCTTACTGTTAAGCAGTTGTGTATTGGAGGGTATACGCGGGTATACGTCGTATACCCGGATCCCTATTTTTGGATTTATGCGTATACCTTTAAGAAAATTAGTCTTTTATGGGTATACGCACGCTTCTAATTTATACCTACTAAAGTTTCAAAAATATATTATAAACCACTGCTTTATCGTATATACATACACAGTACACTGAATCGGTCGCGGTGTGCCGTGTATGGTTAAGGCTCTACATACCATGGGTATGCTATGCCACCATTTTGAGACTCTTTTATCAATGATCAAATGATAAAATAAAGGGGGAGAAATTCATAGATAATATAAGAATATTATCTTATATTATCTATGGAGAAATTCATATTCACATAAGATTATTAGTCGCAAAATGGCGGCGTATCATACCTACCTGTATCTATAGTGCCCTAGTATGGTTATTCTATTAGTTAAAAACAGTGGCGGCTCGCAAGTAAATTCATTGGGGAGACTGAAAATTTAATAATAAAAAAAAATGAACCCAAAAAAGATAAAAAAAAACCTTTTTTTATTATTATAATTGATAGCTTTATAAAAATTATTAGAATAGATAATTATTAAATAATTATAATAATTTAATTATTAGGTACACGCTGCTATACAATGTCAAATAGCTAAATTTAATAGTCTAATACGGACGCACGACACGCTGCAGTTTTCGTGTTTACAGAAAAATACGTGACGACCGCAATGCGAACGGCCAAAACTTTGAATGAGTCTAGTCTCAATGTACTGAATAACATCTATACAATCTATCCCCGTCCTCCGCCTTGTCATGCATATCAGCATATGCAATTTGATTATATTGCATAATTGAGTCTTTCCATAGAGTATTACTCTATGAGTCTTTCGGACGGCAGACTCTCGAACTAACGACCGTCGTCGTTGTCGCCGTCGTCGTCGTTATCGATATATTTAGCCTGTATTGTTATCGATATATTTTTATATTGTATTGTTATTGAATGACACTCATTATTAATGTAAAAATAGAATACAAAATATTATCAATATTAATATCGAAATTCGAAAACCATGATAATTATTTTCAGAATGGATATAACATAAAAATATTAAATTATAATACAATTTTCTTCAAACTTTTTTATTGCGTTACTACTTTTTATTTTTATGGGGAGTCGCCGTCTCAAAGACTCCCCTGACGAGCCGCCACTGGTTAAAAATAGATCCGTAGTCAAAAAATCGTGTACGATTATTGATAATATAAAACAATAAACATACGTAATTTCAAACTAAATGATAATGACAAATTAGAATAATAATAAAATAATTATTGTTGATGTATTGTGTTATTAGTTATTACTTGTCATCCAATAACCAAATTATAAAATCGAACTATTAGTTTCTCATTATATTAATTTTATAAAATATTTTATATATAAATATATTATAATATTATATGATCGATAATGGATAATAAACGTACCGCTACTTCTACTATATAAGTATTTTACTGTACAATTTTTTTAAAATTTGATAATAAAAAGTTGTATTATTTATAATATGTATATAAAAAAATTGTGCCTATGTATTTTTAATATTTTTCAATTGCTATTGTAACAATATATCAGGAAATAGGAAATGTATAGGAAATGCTAATATAAACATTCAGTGAAATTTTCATGTATCTACAGTATAATTCGTTTTTGAATTACAACAAAATAAGGAAATCGCCACATGAGAAATCGTGTGAATATCCAATGTTGTAAAAATTTGAATTTCAAACGCTCATAAAAATTTAATTTGACTTTCTTATAGAATTTTTTTTTTTGATAAATGTAGGAAATCTTATAAGGAATCTTGTATTACATTTTCATATCTAAGATTTAAAAAGAAAAATTTTTATGAATTTCTAACTCGAAATAATTTTGCAAATTGTTGTGATTTTTCCATATTTTGTCATTCTTTGAACTTTAAATGCTTAAAAAAAAAAACTGTGACTAACGATTTTTAATATTTTTCAAATGCCATTGTAACAATATAGTAGGAGCCCTGTATTAAATTTTCAAGTATTTTTACTCAACAAATAAATTTTTATTGATATTCATAAAAAAAAAAAACTAATAAAATTGGAAACTGAAAATGTCCCTAAACAGTTCAAAATAAATCAAAATATTTTGAAAATGCTATCGTGTATAGAAAATGCAAATATAAACAACCACTGAAAATTTCATGTATCTACGGTAATTTGTTTTAAAGTTACACCAAAAACCAAAATCGATTTTCTCGAAAACAGATTTTGTGTAAAAATTCCCGTTTTTCCTTAATTTTTCTTTTGTTTTTCCCAGCGCTTTTGAAAACTACTGGGAATTTTAAATTTTAACCTCCCCAATGCACCAACGATATTCACTTTCCAATCGAATAAGATACTGAAGTTGAAAATCGAAGCATTATTTCGACTACTTATCGTGTACACAGACACAAAAAAAAAAATAAAAAAAAAAAAAAAAAAAAAACACACATCATTGTAAAATTAATACATTCATCGTTTCATTCAGAATCTAAAATAAAAATATTTCCATTAATTTAGTACAATTTTTAAAATGATTCCCGTCCCCAGCGTCCCATTAAAAGAAATTAGAAGGGGTACGCTAAAATATATTTAAAATAGAAGTGGGACTCCGTCCCCCCGCGTCCCCCCCAATTCAACCACTGTATATATATATATATATGTATTTTTATATATTATAGTATTATACATTCATGATTCATATACGATGCATACATAAGGTACATAAACTTGGAAACACTTAAATACATTTATATAATTAAATAAATTCGTTTCCTACTAGTATCTTAAAAACACTGTGTAATAACATTTGGTATCAAAATATCAAATGAAAATTGAAATTGTCTGTTTTAACTTTTAGTAAATCGGGGGTAAGCTATTCTACCAATCCAACAATTCCAACATATATTGTCTCTATATGTGTATTCAAATAATTGCTGTGGGTAGCTTGTATTTACCTACCTACTATTGAACAAATAAAACATGTACCTTCATTAAACTTTAAATATCAAAATCAAATAATTTAATAACCGAGGTAAGTTATAAATTCCTAATATGAAGAACCGCTAAAAATACTTTTTTTTATTAGGATTCAGGAATCAGTATGTTTACAGGATAGGTACTACTGTATTCAGCCAGTATTTCAGCTACTGTATTGGTGTAATTAAGAATTTCGTTTGGTGGGGGGATATACGTTTTTAGCAAAGATGAATGGTCATTATCAATACTTCAATCAAAATGTTAGCAGTAAAAAAATAAGTTTTGGGTGGACTAAAAGTACAATACCTATGCAAATGAGCATAAATTGTTTACCTTTCACGCTCGTAATGCCGAACCACGCCAAGGCGGTGACGTCTTTTACATACAATACACGCGCGTGCGGGAGCCGGGGCCCGGGACAGCTCCGTTATTTCTTATTTACATAGATAACAGTCACACACACTAATGAATAATTATCAGTTAGTACAAACACATTTACAAGATCCTCATGCATGTAATTTGAAAATTGCTTATTTTTAACTCCTTAAAAACTGTCCATTTGCGATCCCCTTAGGAATTAGACATCCGGGGCAATTATCCACTTTGCTCCCCCAGTCCCCCACTAAACACGGACTACACTCAACATCCTGTTGTCTGCACTAATATATATAATATATTATTAGATAGTAATTTGCTTTCCATTTCCACGGGTTCAGATTTTCAAGCATAAAATAATCCATTAAAATGTCAAGGGGGAGGGGGGCTAATGTAATATATTGTGGAGAGGTTAATGTAATATATTGTGGGGAGGTTAATGTAATATTGGGGGGAGGGCTAACCCTCTCACCGTTTTCACCTACACCCACAAGTAAACGCTCTGCAGATACACACTATATGAAAATATAATAATATAAAATATAAATATATAGTATGTGTTGCAGCCTGCAAGTGTAATGTGACGACATATTTGGTCACGTGGTCCAATAACAAACGCACACGCGAATGAATCATAATTTCCCCTCTACGAAGTAAACAACAAATCTGTGACGACTGAGGATGACATACTATTATACATATTGCATATATCTATTATTGTATCTAATAAATAATAGATAGGCAAGTATGTGTTAGGCACAAATAGGGTGCTTATAAACACCGCGAGAAAAAGTTAAATACTTATTAATAATTATAATAATAATTAATAAAAACTAAAAAACCCGTTTATAGCTCAATACCCAAAATTTTTTGTACATTAATATAGTTTTTGAATAATATTCTGCTTCAGATTTTGAAATAAAATATATATAAATAAATAAATTGTTGAATAAATCAAGAGTTAGGATTTATTAGTAGGTACCTACCTACTTAAATATGAGATGATATGCTATAAATTGCAGATTTTTTGGTCAGTAATTCATACGTTTTCAGAAGTTTCAGTATAAAATTGTTACCTATTAATTAATTAATTATACATTTTATATAAACCATAAAACCTGTTCTATAGATACCTAATAAATAATACGTAAGAACTTTTTGCTGAATTATAAATTTATAACTAGGTATATCTATGTCTACCACAGTATCATAAATTAATTATTTATAAACTTGTTAGTCTTAGGTATAATAGACTAATAAGTAATAAGTAATAGTCAATATAGACAATTTGTAGGTAGGTACGTTATTATTACAGGTTGCAGAATTTCAAATTTGTACAACTAATAAATAGTTCTATTTAATAAATAAAAATGTGTTTTTCAAAAGATTGTACAGAATAACATAAGAAGTAGTAATAATAATTTTTTTAAATTTCAAAAAAAATTTGGACTTTCGGCTATAATTTTTAAGCTTTTAAATACCATATGGTCTACCGTTTTCCCTGGCGATTTGGCGCGGAAAACCAAACGGACCAATGGAAGTACAACACGGTGCCCGACCGGTCGGCTTACGGTCGCGTTTGGCGCCGACAGAGTCGGCGCCGTCGCATACATGCCAGACGGCTATATGCCAAACACGGCTGTCCCAGAATCCGTTATCAGCGTTTTCTGTTATCGTCGTCACGGCGGCGGTGGCAACCGACTCTGTTTTGGTCACCCGCTCAGAGTGCTCACTGCTCAGACACCGTTCGTTTACGCCGCGCGTCACACGTACCACGGACTTGTCGTCTTTTCGTCGCGTAGGATGCGATTGGTTCCCTTCCGGTTCATCACGACCATCCGCCGCACACCTAAGTACGCCCGACACGTCTAGAGGATTAAAGTGACTTTTGCCGCCGCCGTCATGGATACGTGGCACAGGATGCGGCCGAAGCTGTACTCCACTTGTCTGTTTTTCTTGGCCTTGGACTGTTCAGTTGTCATGGGTAAGCAGTGCCTTTGGCCTTTGCGTGCTCCTGAATGCTGTCCTCGGATATGTCGGCCATTCGATTTTGTTTGTATTTATGTTTCATCCGATCCGCAGGTTCCGAGGTCGAGAACCATTTGGATATGGGGCGCGACTTCCTGGCCCGTGGACAACTCCAAGACGCCTTGTCCCATTATCACGCCGCTGTAGGTAAGTGAATACGTTGGGCTCTTATGGGCTTACCGAATTTTGAATCTCTGTCGTTTAGAGAAACACTGATAGTGTTTAGTGTTAATGACATCAATTACACAATTTTCAACAAAAATCTTTATGGTATATAGTAACACCATAAAAATGACTCTAATAGATTCCAATGCACCTTTAATTATTTTATCCATACTACATTATATTATACTAAGTACATCATAGGTTTTTAACATTTTAATTCGAAATATCAAATCCAGTTCATTCAAATTTATTTTGTGCTTTCATATGCGCACTATAATTATTTTGTACGTGATTTGCTGAATTGTCTTACCTAATTACTGTAAATAACATTAAAAGTACCTATAGCATTTATTTTGATTTAAATATATACCTATACCTATCTGTTATTTATACCTACAATATCACTGATTTTATATTGACTGACAAACTATGATGTGTTCATTAATATTAATTTTTAATTTGAATGCTAATATACTAAATAGTAAATATAGTAATAATTGTATTATATATTTTAATATAATACTGTTGTTGTTGTATTATAGCTTGTATAAAGTTGTTTCATATAATGATTTAAAATTTTAGAATATCAAAAGATTAGTCCATAGGTAGTTATTTTAAATCCAAAAATAACTTCAATTTATAACTAAAAAATTATCTTACTAAGTAATAGTATATATAAGTAATATGTATATGTAATATGTTATCAATATGTTATATGTAATATATTATTTTTTTTTCAGAGGGTGATCCAAATAATTATTTAACTTATTTTAAAAGAGGTACAGTTTATTTAGCCCTCGGAAAAGCTAAATTTGCTTTATTAGATTTTGGGAAGGTTCTTGAACTCAAACCGGATTTTACAGCTGTGAGTAAATAAGATTTTTATTGATAATATAGAACAGGGATGGCAAATTTTCAATGGCACCCAAAAGACTATCATGTGTCTATTTAATAAAGGTATTTATATAAATTGCAAGCAACAGCATAGTAACCAGACATAAAAAGTCTTTCAGGCAATATGAAGTAAAATGTTTCTAACAATCAATAAAAGTTGATTTTTTTTAAAAAAATTTTCTACATTACTATCATCAATTTTTCATTTATATTTTGTAAAAATTCTCTGTTAACAAAATTAATTAGTTTTACTGCTGAACATTTTTTTTGAATTGTGTCATAAATTGACACAATGACCAAACCCTATTTGCCATCCCTAATATAGAATCATAAAAGTTATATTTTACCTATTAATATTTTTCATTAGGCACGCTATCAAAGAGGTGTAGTATTGATGAAACAAGCTTCAATTGAAGATGCAAGAAAAGAACTTTATAATGTGGTAAGTATAAATAATTAAGAGCACCTCACACCACTACAACAGCATAATATGTTGTCTCCGTCTTACATGTTTACGACATGGCAAATTTTACCCTCAGCAGATCACGTTTAGCCGTTTTAATCAAGCCTGGGCATAAACGCGTTAAAAAGTTAAAAGTTAAGTTAATTTTAACTTTTAACTTAACTTTTTGAAATTCAATTTTCATTAACTTAATTTTTAACTTAACTTATTTTAATTGATATAAACTTAATAAATAACGAGTTACTTTTAATCAAATTCAAGTTAAGTTATAACAAAATGCCGATGAGATGACCTTGATAATATTCTTACCTTTAAATTTTATAAGAGGTCAATTTACTCTAATTTTAAAATTAAGGGGGCTAAACATGATCTGCTGAGCGTAAAATTTGTATGTCGTACACGTGTAAGACGGAGATTACATATGCGGGTATATATATTATATATTTACTAGAGGTGGCCAGGTGGGTCAAACTAAAAAATATAATTTTTAACCAGCTTTTTAATTAAATTTCAAATCAAACTTTTTAGTTATGTATCAATCCAAAATAACCAATTTAATACTATTCAAGTTTTAATTTAATATTAATCTGTTTTAGTACCAATTGGTTTATTGAAATTAATAATCAAGTATGACATACAGTTGTATAGCATAAAAATAGAAAAATAGACAACAGAAACATCTTTTGTTTGACGTGTTAGAATTTTTTTGGATTTTGTACATTTCTTTGAAGTTTGTTTTAATCAAACAATTTTTAACTTTCTATTAGTGTTTGGTTTGGTTTGATTATTTTAAAACTGGGTTTGACTTTTGAACAGTTTAACCTACTTTTAATATTTACTGTTTAGGTATATATGCTTATTTATATTATAAACTATAATAATTTTAGTATATTGGCAATGGTGATTTTGCACGAGAAGCATATGATTTGTACTCAAAACTTGATGGTCTTGCCTACGATATAGAATTAGCTACCTACTACCAAGAAAATAAAGACTATGAAAGTGGTATAAATTCATTGGATCGTCTTATAGAACATTGTCCTTGGGCTCCTTCATTACGTGAGCAGCGATCACAATTGTATTTGAGTTCTGGAAATGTGCAACATGCTATAATGGACTTGCGGACAGCTACTAAACTCCAAGCCGATGACACAGACGGTCATTACAAATTATCAAAAATTTATTACAGTATAGGAGAAGTATCTGAATCACTCAAGTAATTATTATTTATAATTAGTTGTCTATGGCGTACTGTATTATCATGTTAAATTATTTTACAGAGAGATTAGAGAGTGTTTAAAATTAGATCCAGATCATAAATTATGTCACTCACATTATAAAATTGTTAAAAAAATTGATAGACTGATAGTAGACAGTCAGTCAGCGCTCAATATCAAAGATTTTTCCAGTAGTATTCAATTCGCAAAAAAGGTAAAATATTTGGATTAACTAAAATATTAAGTTCCATTCCAAGTTCCAACTTGTGGTTTAAGTTAAATTGTAATTTATTCTTATGAACTTTGGACACTATGTAATATATATTATGAACAGTTAAATTTAATTTAATGTGAAAGGCAAACATTAAATTGTATGAGGAATTGTGTTTACTGGTAGGCAGAAAAAAAGCCCAGAAATATAAATATAAATGTGAACACATGTAAACTGTACTCCTAATTAGTAATTAGTATGTAGGTACCTATAGGCTATAACAAAATATATTATAATGAAAATAATAATAAATTTTATAAAAGAAAATCTTAAAATTTAAAATATAAATAATTATATGTCTGAATATGACTTTTACTTAACTATTAATCATATGTAACTATTGAAAAATTTAAATACACCTATAATATTATAAGATCTTCTTTTTCGTTGCTCAAGATTTTAGTTTATATAGGGGGTTTAATACTGCCATGGACCACTGATGACCCACCTGTCAATAAATTGCATTTTTAGGGTCCAACTATTGATAAGCCTTTTGACATTTAATTTAATTTATACTGTTCGGTACTTGCCAATATAATTTATATATATATACATTATATAAACAGTATATAACCAGTCAAAATGTTTAACTCTATCAATAGCTGGGTAATATTGACACTCCATATATATATAGTACTCCATTACTTGGTTGTTGAGATACTATCTACACGTCCTACTAGTACAGTTTTATCCAGTTATAAATTTGTTTTATATTTTATAATTTTGTTTTACCAATTTTTGTGACTATGAAGATTATAAAATCAAATAAAGGTGGTGACAAATGATGTTCCAAAGGTTATGTATA